CTTTTAATTATTTCAAGAGGACTGGAAAATCAAGAAATAAAACCTCAGGTACAAGAGCAGTCCCAAAACGAGCCGTACGGGTAGGATAGACACAATCGTACATGTCAGCACCTAATGCGCTGCAAACTACAATATCCAGAGGATAACCAATACCCTGTGAGTGTCAGCAATCAAAATACATAAAGCATCAGAAAAAATTGCAACACATACTGAAATGTATTAAAGATAGTATATCATAAAAGTGTCATTTTACCATAACATATCGAGGTTTATTCTCAGGCAATGCAGCTGTGCACTGGGCAACGACTCGCCAAAATGAATCTTTATCTTCACCTCCTGCAAGCCCACCAATTGCATAGCTGCCAAAAGTAAGAAAGGATTTGGCTAGTTCAAGAAAATAGGGCTTAATATTTCGTATAAAGTTGTTATTTCAGTACAATAAAGATAAACGTACAGAAGAAAATCACATTATCAACAAAAATCAGAGATAGAACTGTTATGTGCGGAAAAGAGAAAAAAAAATCTCTGATTTTTACTTCAATATGGCAATGAGATTGAGTAGCATGTGAAGATTTGACTCCAAATTAAACCAAGAAGTACATGGTGAATGTGCTAGTTTGAAGCAAAACATACAATTTACTCACCAATGAGTAGTCTGTTTCTTCAATTATCTTTTATTTTAGTAACCTGAAACAATTTATATTGGAAAACTGCTTGAAAGAAAAAGTAAAATATAACAAAATTGATGGGGAAAAATACTCAACCAAATGATTTCATCACATTTGCAGCACATATTACATAGAAACAGCACAATGGAAACAGAAGGATTATACTTTATCTCACTTGGTTGGCTTATGTTATGTCACAAAAGAAATATAGGAGTTTCAGGTCTGATTGTGTATTACTAACCAATTCAACATGCAGAAACACGGAACAATTTCAGAAACTAATACTTGGCTTAATATAATTATTACTAGGAACAAAGACGAACCCTGGTAAATCTCGTTCCACCAAACCCTTGACACATATATCCCTGTCAGCAATTAAAACAGGAAACCAGATCAATTGGAACCAATAGAATATGCAGAGCTCTTGAAGCAAAATAGAAGTAAAGACTCAGTTAATCTAACCTTAAGACCGGATCTAAACCACCTTGCACGATTCCAAATAAATTCTGATCATGGGGTCTCTTGTGTGCTGTTTACAGATGTCAACATCGTAATAAGTTTTTAGTTGTAAGGAAGTACCACCACACACGCACTCATAATTACCAACTTTTCTTTAATTATTTTACAAGTCACTGTTAGCAATGCCAACAATCCAGCTAGTCTTTTAGAACTCAGTCAATTTCCCACGTAATATGAAGCAACCAGTAAATAAATATGTATAACCTTTTTTTTTTTTTTTTTTTTNAGAATTCTTTTAACTTCTAGTTACTAGAGTAATACAAACAATCCAGCCAATCTTTTAGAACTCAGTCAATTGCCCACGTAATATGAAGCAACCAGTAACTAAGGGCGTGATTGGATACAAATATATCCGCTCAAAATGATTATTTTTTTCTAACTAAGGTTAATTTTGAAAAAGTTGGTATGATTAGTTTTATGGAGATTTTTAGTTTATATTAAAATAATATTTAAGATAAAATTTTTAAAGTTGATTTGATGTAAAAGTAAGAGAGAGATGATGTGAAGTGATGGTTAATTAAAATCATGAGAGTGGACGAATAGTAAATTAAAGTTGATATGATGTGTAAGAATAATTCTTTGGTATTATTTAATTATAGGCCTCGTTTACTAGATGATGGGATTGGACAAATTAATCCCTCCAATTTGCCACATCAGATTTTGGATACAAATTGTCTCATGTTTACCAAAGTGGATAAAAGTCTATGATAAATAATAAAATTATTGATTTAATTAATTAAATTAATATTTTTATAAAGTAAATAGTATTATTTTAAATTAAAAAAATATTTTAGATTAAATAATATTATTTTAGATTATATAAAATTATCTAAATTAATATTTTATAAATTAAATAATATTATTTTAAATTAAATTAAATTATTTTATATTAAAAAATAATATTATTGGAATATCTCCAAGGATTTAGCGGTGGATAGGAGAGCTTGGAGGCTCGCTATCAACGTGCCAGAACCGTGACTTTTGCTCCTTTCTCTCTCTCTCGTTTTTTTTTTTTTTCGATCTCTTCCTTTCGGTTCGAGTCTTTTTGTGTTTCTCTTGGGTTTCATCTCTAGCCTACCCCGACTTGCTTGGGACTAAAGGCTATGTTGTTGTTGTTGTTGTTGTTGTATATTAAACAATATTTCTAAAATTAAATAAAATTATTTAAATTAATATTTTAAATACTAAATAATAGGGTTAATAACTTTTTCCCATCTGAACTATCACGATTTTGGCGCATCACCATATGAACTTTTTTTTTTTACAAACCACCATCTAAACTACACGGGCATGTCAAATTGTCCCCTAAACCGGAAATAAAAGTAGTTTTGATTAGAAAAAGCTGATTTTTGAGGGTATTTTCGTAATTTCATATATTTTTCAAAAAATGAAAAATGAAAAATGAAGGAAAAAATGGGACTACCCCATACCCCATCGCCATCGCCCTCCGTAAGAACGAAACCCTAATCCCCAATTTGAATTCACACTCCCCCAACAAATTTCTCCCCGTCTGTTGCAACAAAAGCTGCGGCCATGCGTGGATTCCGATTGCTCCGCCTCCGCAAAACCATCCACACCTCCTCCGTCCAAAGCCCTAACCCCATCCCCTTCGCCACCTGCTGCAAATCCCGCAACTGCCCCCAGCAGCCGAGGAATCTCCACTCCACACCTCAACGCCGGTTCCCCTCCTCCGCCGCCACGGACAATGAAACCGCCGCGCTCACCTGGTCGGAAAAAATTTCAAATTGAAGGAAAAAAATTGAAGGAAAAAATTTCCTCTTCGCCCTAGCACGGCGACCAGAATTCATCGGCGTTTACATCTCGGCGAGTTCGAGCTCATGTCCGACCACCGGCGACCACGGCCATGTCTAACCCGACCCTCACAGTGGCCGGTTTCTTTTCAATTTCTCCCCGACGGTAATGTCGAGCAGCCCCGTTTTAAAGAAATCCCCGTCGGCTCCTTTTCATCGACTGAGACGGCCATTCCAATGAATTTCGCCGTCGAATTTGAGCAGCCATCTCCCCATCGGCTTCTTTCCGAGCAGCAGCAACCCCGTCCTGTAGCGAGCAGCCGACGGACTCCGAACAAATAGCAACAGCCCTCGTCGGCCCGTTTGTTTCCCAGCAGCCCCTTTTTCTTTTTTATTTTTGTTTTTTTATTTTTTTTGAAACAAAATTCTTTAATTCTATCATTTTCTTTTTTTTTTTAGAAAAATTTATGAAATTACTGAAAATACCTTTAAAAACAACTTTTTTTAGTCAAAACTACTTTTAAATCCGGTTTAGGGGGTAATTTGACAAGCCCGTGTAGTTTAGATGGTGGTTTGTAAAAAAAAAAAGTTCATATGGTGATGCGCCAAAATCGTGATAGTTCAGATGGGAAAAAGTTATTAACCCTAAATAATATGATTTTAAATTAAATAAAATTTTTTAAATTAAAAAAATTATTTAAATTAATATTTTATTGATTAAATAATATTATTTTAAATTAATTAAAATTATTTTTTAATTAAATATCATTATTTAAATTAATATTCTATAAATTAAATATTTTAAATTAAATTAAATTATTTTATATTAAACAATATCTTTTAAATTAAATTAATATTTTATAGATTAAATTCTATTATTTTAAATTAAATAAAAATATTTTAGATTAAATAAAGGTCATTTAAGACCAAGGATAATTTAAGCACACCATAATAGCCGGATTTTTTTTATCCCGCCAACAAGGATACATATCCCGCCAACTCATGCCACGTCATATGTATCCTTATCCCAATCCTATTTAGTAAACGAGGAATAAGGTTGGTTAACCAACCTTATCCTATCCTATCAAGGCTAGTAAACGAGGCCATAATGTATTGAGGATAGTGGAGTTGGGTTCAAGTTGAGTTAGATTTTGTATTGATTGAGTATAGATTTAAAAATTTATAAACAAACACTCCCTAAATAAATATAACCTTTTCTTTTTTTATTTTCCAAAAAAGAATTTTTTAACTTCTAGTTCTAGAGTAACTACATCTCAAGTTTCTACGTTCGAGTGTTACTAGGCTTCTTTTACCTTTTATGCACCTATCTATCCAACGAAGCGTACGATACATTGCTTCTTCAATCCGTGGGCCAGTAATAGTAGTCTTAACGACGTCATCAAGTGCCATAATAATATCGGCTCCTATTCGGTTCTGAAACAGGAAATAGAAACCAAGTGAGCCAAACATATTTTCAATGCCACTAAAATAATGCAACTATTTGTGAGCAAAATATTGACTAGCAGTGCATTTATATTCAATCAACAACAATAGAATTAATAAGGTATAGTATCATTGTCCAAATCTCATCAAAATCATGGTCGAGATATGCTGAGTGCCTCTTATAATTGGTAATGAGCACATAGTCCTGTGAATATTCATATGGGATAACCAAAAATTCTATTTTGCAATTCATGGTGTAATAGTTCAACAAGAACTTATGAGTATTTTTCACATTATTATGTTTGCCTTAGTTTGTGCAGCACTATTCAAAACCATAATCAGTTTTTATGTAAATATATAAAAAGGCATGACATACGAGAAAATTTTTTCTTCGTTTCATTCCTTTTTTGCCCCTTTTGTGGAGTCAGAATACATCTAGGAGTAAAAATGCCATCAGAAACTAAAATAACTTATGAACTGAAATGTGTAGATCAATGTATTGTTTATTTGCTGGAATTCATAAATGCTCGGATTTGTCATAGTAGAAGTAACTGCATAAGTAAGATTCAGTGTAAGAATTTTACTTGTATTTGTATTGACTCTTCTGGAGTGAGTAGCATGGGCTTCCCATCAACAGGTGACTGAAAAAACAGTCATAAGGAGTAAGCTTTTAATTATTTGTCGGAGCACTAAGGCAGAATAGGTGCAATGAGTTTTAAAGGTTAAGAGGGAAAAAATATGCAAAAATACTATACGGAGACTCATTCCCTGGTTGCCCATTTTCTTGATATAAAGAAAAGGACTACAGATTATATGGTATAATTTTTTTTTAAAAAAAAAAAAGAAAAAAAGAAGAAAAAGAAATGAAAGGAAATAAATCTCCTGGACTAGTGGATCGAGTCCCACCATTTTGGCAGCGACATCTGCAATGGATCTATTATCATCATGCTCTAATCAAGAATGTTACAATTACATTTGTGAAATCTTTGACAGAATATAGTATGAATTATCTATCAAAAATTATGAGTAAGGACAACTGAGAAATATGATTATGCCGATATTCATGAGCGATTCTCAAAGGATGAGTAGGATATAGATATTTATACTGAAGATTAAATTTTCTAATTTCTACAACTTCTGGCGTGATACCAGAACAGCCCTTAAGTTTACAATGCAAAAGAATGTTCTTCAACTGATACCTTCAGGTTACTGCCTTATTTTCTTGATCAAAATATATGAAAGATTCAGATTCATCATGTGCAGTTAGGGTTAATTGACCTCTTCGGAAAAATATAATTTGAACAACGTTTTTGCCTAAAAAAGGATGAAATCATTAACACACACACAGACACAAAGATAATAAATGAGAAAGTAACAAAAAACATTTCCCATTAAATGATCGATACCAAGATGTACTCGCTGAATCGCTTATATGAGAAACATTGCCTTGAAATATTACAAAATCCTACCAACGCTATCTATCATTTCAATTCAAGGCTACAAGTATATAAATGAATACAACAAACAGCTGAAAAGAGTACCTGAAATGTGACACCCTTCTCCGTAATATCGGCCAAATGCAATAATGAGACCTACCAACATTTAGAAATCATTTTTGTGTCACATTCTATTCATGCAATTGAAACGAAAAAGACAAATGGCATGGCTAAAACGGTAAATTGCACTCGAATACTGTATAGGAACATAAAAGAAGCAAAATATAATTATTCAAGAATATGATAATGAAGACATGCATACATTAATTACGAGGTACTTCCATTTAAATATCTTCAGACACGCAAAAGAAATATCAAGAGAAACACAGTGAAAGCATATGTGCGGCACTATCATCAGAAATGACAAAATATTGTGCGGGAATGGTTGAACTTCAAGACACTGAAGTGGGTTGAAGGAACCCCAAAGCACGTGGAAAAAAATGGTATCATTTATGAACAGTTAGCATGTTATTTTTGTCAACGCTAAATGATGAACAGACTACCATTTGAAAGCCACCCGAGTCAGTGAGCAAAGCCCTTGGCCAATTCATGAAACTATGGAGCCCCCCCAACTCATCAATGAGCTCTGAAGTAGGACGAAGGGCCAAATGGTAAGTGTTTCCGAGAATTATTTGGCAACCAATTTCCTCAAGCTGACTAGTCGTTAAACCTTTTATTGTGCCTGTAATATAAATCCCAAAATTATCGCTCAAATAACAAATTGGTAAGCTAAAATTGTATGTTTAGGAATGTAACTATTGGGATTCGCAGTTAGTCCTTTTAACTTTTTGACATGCTAATATCGTTCCTCGGGAATTCTACCATTTGTCAAATAGGAACTCTCCTATGACTTTCGTAAGCAATTTCAGACATTTAGCAATATGTTGCATTTTGAGAAAAAAAAATATATATATATATACTGAAACAACAGTGCTGAAGGAAATTGGAGTAATATGAAATTTATGAGATCAAAGTTGCATAAGTTTTAAAACTTAGCGGTTGAAAGTAGAAAATTCCAAAACTTACTATAAAAAAAAAATCGTTAACCCTTTTAAGTTTGGGACCAATTTTGCAATCAAGCCAAAAGAAGAGACTATATGTTACATCAACTGGTTTACGACAACAGGATAGATAAAGTAGTAGAGTTTTATCATTAGACATGAACTAAATGAAGACAAAGAACTGACCACCCTGCTTAATTGATAGTACAGTGTATCGAACATTAATGTAAGTGCTTGCACTTGCATGATACCCATAACTTTATAATAGTATTCCTAAACAAAGGTGATCGAAAATAAATCTAATAATGCACAACGAGATGAACAATTGCTTTTTCATTCACCAATACAATATGTACAATATGTACATAATGAGTTGAACCTTAATAACTAATCAATCTTCTTTATTTTAAGACATGATAGGAGCAATTTACATCAGCTAAGAAACACCAAACAAGGATTTTTACCTTGGGTACCCACAGGCATAAATAGCGGCGTTTGGCAACCAAAGTGAGGGAGTGTGAGCTGAGCTGCTCGAGCACGATTGAACCTCCCAAGAATCTAGTTCCAAAAACAAAGTGTAAGCACCAATATTCCAGAAAGCCAGTAGTATGTTGGCAACGTTGCTTTAAAATTTGATTGACTGTCCTGAATAGGATAATAAATTTGACCCAATGCAGGCTCCTCATAGCTAAAATACTAAGTAATAACAATAGCAAGGAACATCATCTAAGATGGCCTCCTCCCTCATTTAACTAGGACTTCCGCTTATTTCTTCAAGATTGAAAAGGAGTATTCATAAGATAACAAAGACAGCAACTTAAGAAAGCAATGAAAAGCATAATCTGTGTAGCACGGCCCAAAAAATTATTCTTTACACGATTCGTTTTCACAAAAGAAAATTAATTCAATAATGCTCATAACCTTGCATAATTGTAAATAAGGAAAGCAAATTGACCTTCACATTCTCATAGCCTTCAATTTTTTAAACACTAGACATATTTATGCATAATAACCAAGCACAGAAACCCGTACCTTAAACTGAAGAGCCATCTATGCTTGGAACTGCAGAAAGAAGGAAAAATGAATTCTGTAAATTCTTCTTCGAAAGATGTTTAACTTGCGTGACATCTATGAGAATAGTCATATTAGAGAACACCAATGTTCGAACATTTATTCTTCAAAAGTTATAGCATTAAAAACAACAGGCCACAAAATGTTTTCAGCTCACAGGCTTTGACAAAAGACAAGAGGTGGAAATACAGATATAAGTACCAAAGATACCAAATCAAATATAACAGTTATCAAACTATAAATCTTTTCACGAGAATCTCTCGTGAAAAGATTGAGACTTTCCTTCATACTCAATGATGGAAAAGAAAAGGGTCACATCAAATCGGAAGCACACATGACACATGGAATATGAAATAGTGAAGATGAATTTTAAGAGAAACAAGGGGATCATCATCTGCTTCTTCTTTATTACCCTTGGTTTTCCTTTTTGACTGGGTACCCATAGATTAAACACGGTTCAGTCAAAAGCAACAAAGTTAAGCCATGAGTCATCCAAGGTCTTTTTCAACTAAACTCGTGTAAACACAATGACAGTGTCACACTTGTTCAGGTACCCTATTTCACCACAAAATTTTACTGTCCGTAACTTAGTCTTGGCAGTGTAGCCTTGATTCCCTCCAGAAAAACCACATTTACTGTGTGAATCACATCCTCGCTTTATGCACTAATTTAAATGTGAAAGATAAAATATTACAATCAATTTATGGGGAAAACGATGGAAACCTGAAAGCAAGAGTCATCGTACCACTGAAAGGGTGACCACATTACAAGTAAAGCTTGTGCTTCTTGGGAAGAGCACCTTATGGGGGTAAAGGTGATTCCACACTTTAAGCTTATTGGAATATATTTCTAGTGTTTATAAGCTAATTATTATAGATAAGCCACACCCTTTACCAAAAATTTAAATGCTGTTGGGTGCATCTGATATAAGAAGTGATATGGAAATGTTTGTGGATGACAAGTTATTTTTGACATTATTATTGTCAAATTATTATTATGATATGACAATCTTCTCTCTTCCTAAACTGATGTATAATTCATATATGGGAGCTTTTCTATTTCTGTACTTCAAAAGCTAATTTTAAAAGTGATGCTTTCTACCCAACTTTAATGTCTTAATTGACTTTAAACTCTAATTTAAATTTTTTACATCATAAAAAGATGCCACACATTTAGTGGACAAAAGGATAATATTTTCTCTGCTACCAATGTCGACCATTCTAGCACTTACTGATTTGGTCTTTAGGGCTTCAGGCTCTCAAGTGGGGAAATCCTGTTCGAAAGAAAGCCCTCTTCCTTCTAGTTTAAATTTACATCATAAAAAGATGACACGCATTTAGTGGAGTTAATATTTTCTCTGCTACCAATGTCGACCATTCTAGCGCTTGCAGTAAAAAATCACTTATTAGAAGTCACATTCCCGGTACTAATCACCAAATATTTGCCCTCCAGTGAGTTATAGGTTCAACATTCCCAAAAAGGAATCTTCTTGAGGGAAATGAATTTTCAAAAAGTCTCGACTAAAGTTGTTCCATCTAGTTTTGGTGAAATAACTCCATAATATCAAGGGTAGAAGGGGAAAAATCAGTTCATTTGAAATGAGGCAGCTAGTAAGTAGTAGTTGAATGAGAACAATTTGTTGAAACCAAAAGGAAAATCAGGAAAAATAAAGGCCAAGGAGCTAAGCACACAGCAATACCGACAAACCAAGAGAAATATTCAAAACTAACCCTACTCAAAATCCGAGCCGTCTCGGAACCCTATTCACAAATGGGAGCTCTGATAACCATACTCCGTTTTTTTCTCGTGCGTGTTTGCGCCAATATATACATAAGCACAGCTCGTGAGTAGTTTCAGATGAAATCGAATATCTATCTGCGAAAATTCCCGTCCTATTAACTTAGAACCACTTTCACAAACTAATCACCTTCACAATACTAATCCTCACACCTCCACAACGCAATTTGTTGGACAGAAGTAAGCAATCCAAAAAGAAAAAGAAATAGTTATGCATGCATGAGAAATTACAACCATAACACATTAAGCTAGGCTGTCGCAGATGCTTGTACCTTGAACGGCGGCGGAAAGAGGGAGTCCAGGAGGCGGCGCCGGCGGTCGTGGATTAGTTGTCTTGGTGGAGAGGTCTTCAGCTCAAAGTGGACACTGGACAGTAGGTTTTACCTTTTACGGTCAATTGGTCAACGACTCAATATGAATTCTGTTACGCGCTTTTTGAATTTTTCAGACGGGCCTGTTTGATAAATAACATGTCTTTTTAAGGTGTGATGATTGCTTATAAATATATTAACCATGATTAATTTAAAAAAAAAAAAATTGATATGAATAGTTATCAGTGTAATTTTAAGTTTGATTAAAATAATATTTAAAATAAAATTATTTGATGTAAAAATAGAAGATAGATGGTTGAAATTAATAGATAAGTTCAAATTATGCAAATAAATAAATAGTGAATTAAAATTGATGTGTTGCGTAAAGATGATTGGTAAATATTATTTAATTATATTAAATATATTAAATAGTGAAATTAAATTAAAATTAAGTTAAATTTTAAATTGAGACTGATTTTTTTTTTAGAATAATTGATAAACAAGCATGCCCTTAGACATGTTAGCATAAAAACTGACCAAAATATCTCAATCTCAAATTTTCGATCAAACCCTTCCAAGTGTTCCAAAAATTATTTTTAGTATTTCCAAAAAATCATTTTAGTAATTTTTGAAACCTTGAAACAACTTTTTGAATTCTACAATAAATTTCTACACTTCCAACAATGATTTCTAATGAAATTCTAAAAATGGTTTCTTAAACACATAAATAATTGATTTCTTAAAAACAAATGGAGGGAACATTGAGAAAGGAACCATCAGTCAAATCAATTTGGGAGGATAAAATTGAAATCCCGATGATAATTTCATAAGAATGTACCGAATCAATCTACGGCGTGCCTTAAAATAGAGGGAATGTCATGCTTGATGCGGGTATTTTCACGTGTAAATGATGCCTCAACTGTTGTGAATACCATAAATTAATCGACATTCAAACTCAACATATGTGTGCATGTGTGTGTACCGGAGTACAATAAAGCAGCACGAAAGGAATGAATAAAAGTATCTTATATAAGCAAGCACAATGCAGTCAGAAGGCCGCTGGAATACAGTATGGGCTTCAATTCTTCATAAGAACAACCCAAAATATTTTATTACTCATCTGAGACTGAATGAATATCAAGAGAAACCAACGGGACAGGCATTACAGAGGACCTGGAAAAGTGCCATTTTCCCTTTGCTCATTCCACCTATCAATCTGCAACAAAAGAAGGAACACGCTAAATATACAGTTCAAAAATGCAAAATGTGTTTCCTCACAAGAGGCTAAATATCACACTATCTTCTCAATACTTTCTATTTGCACTGAAATTTCTGGCATGCAGTAAACAGAACATTAGGAAAAATAGGTGAAGAAGAAAAAAGATGTCATATATTTTTTGTTTATCTCTATTTCTAGTTGGTAGTGGATGCAAACATACCCATTCACCAGGACAAAGAGAGCGATAATATTTAGCAAACTTGTCACACTCGGGTGCACCTTCACCCTTTGCCGCAACACACCTGACAATAAACAAAAACCAAGTGTGACGATTAAAGGACAAGAAGAAAAACACAAAGCATTCCTGATGATGCTTCAAGAATTATCAATGGTGTGCAACTGACCTTATGGAAAGAACTAATAAGTTCCTAGATCTTAACATACGCATTTAATAACTTGCAAGATATTATGACGTATTCTGATAGAAGGTGATGAAAATTTAGATAAAGTAAGACCGTAAAAAATTTCGGAGCTTTAGCTGTATTAAAAATGATACTATGTCCTTGCCAATATTATAGCTCGGTATAATTTTTCTGTCCCAAAAACCCTTTGAGGTGTGTTCAATTGTTTTCTCCTAGTAAGTTGTTGTAATCCTACTCAATGAGAAACTTCCCACACCGTCCGAAGTCAATGATGGCATTAGTATGAATAGGAGCATACTAGGAGGATTCGAGTGTATTTTGGATTTTCTGATGCAAATTAAATTTATTTTCTTAATTTTTGTGTGAAGGAAAATTGAGACTATTATGTCTCGATCTCATCTTGATCAATAATCCCTCGCTTGGCTCCCCGGAACTGCTGGTCAGTTCGCTCGGTGCTTATAAATGAAAGTGTGTGTCGATTACTGTTGGTGATTGAAAAGACTTGCACGGTTCAGTGAATCACTAAGTTATAGATAGAGAATGGGCTTCATTATCATTAAATACGAGTGCGGTGGAGTTGAGCCCCTTTACTGTATATGTACAAATAATGGGGCATAGTTGTAATTTAAGTGGTGAATTTAAAGAAGGTAACAAAGATGAGATTTTTCCTTTTGCTATTCTTTTTAAATTCTTGAAAGGAAAAGATCGGGTATCCTTTATAGATACACCTTCTTAACTCCTATAATACTAAACAGAATATAAAGTGTTCAGGCAATATGAGAGAGGGGGAGAGAGGACAGAGTTTACGACAACGAATGTTAAGAACTTACAGGCTCGGTAACAGCTTCTAAAATGGCCGGAGCTCATAAACTCGGCCAAACAACAAAAGAAGTGTCGATAAAAGGTATAGTCAGTTACTCACCGATGATACTCAATATATCTTGTGAAACAGTGCCTGGTTTGGTTAGTTGTTGGGAAACGGAAGTCTGCAGGAGCTGTCTCAAGCTGCAAAAACGTGATTTGTGAAATGAAATGAAAATGAAAGCAAGCGAACAAATCAAATACAAGCAAACATGGTTTTTACAACAGATGGACTATGAAATCTCAAAAGAAAAAGTAAAACCTTGATCTCAGGAGTCTCTTCCTCAACTTCTTGTTCATCTGAGTTCCCGGATTCAGCACTGTTGTCATTGCTTTCTTGGTCTCCATTATCCTCAGTAGTTTTATCAGTGAGGCCCGATTCCTTGCTTTCTTCTTCAGCAGGAGGAGCAACTTCTTCACTCACATCGGCAGTTGAGGTGTCCTCGATTTTCTCAACAATTTCCTTGGAAGTGGCATCTGATGATGGTTCGACCTCTTCAGCAGATTTTGGAGCTGCCTCAGGTTTTGGTTCTTTGTTCTCTACTAAATAATGCTGCGTAAAAAGGAAATAAGATATTATTATTTTCATCACATACCAAAGCACCAAACAGGACAAAAATATTAATACAAAAATAAATGAAATATTCTCGTCTGGCTTGTTCCAGCTTTAGATGATTATTATCAATATTTTTCCTGTCCTGCACCTTTGTCATAATCATCAATATGAAGCAACATGGGGTCCAAAGATGGGAATGGGGGTATTTACAGACTAAAAATGCTTGCACGCCTACACTATTTTGCGGGTAATATGGTATGCATGAAACCGTGGGTACCTAAGAAAGGGCCATAATCCTACAAGGGCCATAATACGAAGATAGAATCTTTGTCAAATTAATTTGGAAAAATTAGAGTACCCAGGTGACAATGAAGGTTCCCTAGTAGTGATAACATTGGCCACAAGAGCAGGGTAGATCAAAATTTGAGACAGCCCAAATCAACTACGTGGTAAATTTGAAGACAAAAGAAAGGTAAGGATGTCATCAGCTACCTCCCAACATATGCATGGGAATTTATTTCTCGACTCGTATGAACCTACATATTAGAATTGTCGGCACGTATGGTTCCTTGGCTAGTCATGGTATAAACTTCAGGCAAAGAGGGTTTCACATACCAACAGTCATGCAACACCAGGAAAACAGCACCAACGCAAAATAATATGAGTGCATAATAATATCTAATAACAGATGAGCCAATAATATTCTTTGGTAGTGTAAGCTCAAGTCTGGTATGAATTTGCAGGTAGATTGAGACAGTTCTCGACAGGTCTGTCATACTGAAACTGACCAAAAAAAGGTATGCATATATTTTAATGGTTATATCGTTGGTGTGAATTGTATTGATTAGCTTGCAACTGAAAGTTACATTTACATAAGGCTCTAAAGTTGTACAAACTAACTTGCCAGAAAAAATAAATAAATAAATAAATAAAATAAAATAAAATCATGACACATAAACAGTAATAGAGAATGAAGCAACTGTATTTAACGTTGTTTTGCCATCATCTCATAATAAGTTATAGAAGAAATGTAGAAACCAAATTNGTAAGCAGTAAAATAATAAAACCAGAATAAAAAATGGTCAATTTACTACACTTTTTACTGCTCTTATTTCAGAAGAAGATACTCATAAATACTTCGAAATCTCAGGCAAAAGCAAGCAACAACAAACATATAAAGGCATAGACATCTCAAAAGTGACTGGCAGAGAACAAGGCTGCAGCCTGCAGATATCTACTCAGCCAATTGAAAAAACAAAAACTTAACTCCCCCAAATCACTTATTTAGACATCAAGTACCCAAAAAAGTAAAATAATGATAAATATGAAAGCTTTGATTCATAATATCATGAATATTTTGAAAATCTTATTCAAATTCACTTAAGTGTCAATTTTCAGAACATAGATTTCTTCATAGGTTAATTAAGAGGAACATTGGCATTCGTTTAGTAACAGAATATTTTATCAAACCTATACTTATGCTGTGGCCGCATATAAACCCCTGATCCAAGCTCTCATCACTCTGAAAAGAATAAAGAGGGAAGGATTTTCCCTCTCTCATCCAAACCAAATAGCACAAATCGAGCAGATTACAACAAGCCTTCAGCTACTGGATGCCGCTTCCATCAGCACACCCAACCCACCCATCGCACCAAAAATAAAAACTAAATTATATAAAATGAAAACTAAAAAGAAATGCCTATGGAACTCAAATCCGATCTGTCGATCAACGCATTAATTATAATCGCATCAGGAAAATCCAACTTTAAGAAAAGGGGGATGGGATGGAGTTGATAAAATTCAATTAAAAAAATACAAAATCCAATCTGTGAAATGCTGAGAAATCAGAAAAGAAAAGCACCTCAGCTAGGGATGGGAGCTTGGGCGCTTCAACTTCGGCCATTGAAGGATCTGGAAAATTGACGGCGGCTGTAGTGGAGTATTATGCTACAGAGGGAGAAAATGGAAGGTAGTGAGAGAAGAAAGGACTACCAGATAAAGATAGACAAGGTGATTTCCAGAAATGGTGGTTGAGCCCAAAACAAATGAAAATGGGCCTTGAGCTCGGCATCTATATATATATATATATATATATATATATAATAAGAATTATCATTTACCAAAAATAGCAGTAAAAAAAATAGGTCAAAATTTAATACAGCATTAAATGCTACCTTAAATTTTGGGTTTTAGTTCATTTTATTCAATAAACGAGACGATAAAGGACGAGATAGTGGGGACCTTCCTCGAGGACGAGATGATGAAGATCGTGCCAGTCCAAAAGCAGCCACGGTGGACGCGCGGGGGAGAGATTTTCAGGACTTTGCATTATAACTGTCGAAGGCGCGAATGTAACGGCTGCTTATTTTCCTTTAGAAAACTCTAAGTTTTCAGAAATAGTTTGAATCTTAAAAACATTAACCGATTTAAAATTCTCTTTCTGACATTACTGAAAATTTCTTTCCTTTCTTTTCTTAGCTTAAATCGTCCCTTAAGCTCGTAGGGGATTTATTTCCCAAACCATTCATCTTGTTTTCATCCATTCAAGACATATATAAAACTTTATTCATAAACCGTATCGCAAACAAATTGTCAAATCCATAGTTTCAACAATCTTAATTCAAACAATTAAAAATCTGAAATCGTCTGCGGAAGTAATAAAACAATTTAACATAATAAGACCACCCTCGTCTCCTCATGACTGCAACCAGCTGCTCAACCTGAAAAGATGATAATAGTGGAGTGAGAAACAACTAGCTCACCATGAGAAATACAATGCGATTATTCAGTACAATACCTATAAATTTATATATGCAGTTAATGGCCACATGTCGTGACCACATATTTATACAGGTCATTAGACACAAATTTATACTATATGAAAATTCCTGAAGGATTAAAGGTTCCCGAAATAAGAAAAAATGAAACATGCAACATTTATAGCTTTGATTACAAAAATCATTATATGGCTTAAAACAGTCGGATAGAATGTGGTACAAGCGACTGAGTGAGTTTCTATTAAAAAATAACGATGTGCATAACGATGTGTGCTCATGTGTGTTCATAAAGAAGACAACAAATATTTTTTGTATCGTTTCATTCTATGTCGATGACATAAATATTCTTGGCACATGTGAGGAGCTTGATAAAGCTAGCTCATGCCTAAAAAATGAGTTTGAAATGAAAGATTTGGGTAAAACCAATTATTGCCTGGCCTACAGATTGAGCATCTCCATGAAGAAATTTTGTACACCGGTCATCCTACTTGAAGAAGGTTTTAGAAAATTCTACATGGATAAATCTCATCCACTTAGCACAGCAATGGTTGTCTGATCTCTTGAAGCTAATAAGTATCCATTTTGATCTAAAGAAGATACCAAAGAAAAGTTAGGACCAGAAGTTCCTTACTGAGCTCCATTAGCGCATTACTTTATCTTGTAAATTGCACCAGGACTGATATTGCATTTGCAATAAACTTGCTAGTTAGGTTTAGTGCTTGACCTACAAGGAGACACTAGAATGGTATTAAACACATTTTTAGGTATCTTCAAAGTTCACAGGATATTGATTTACTTTATAAAAACACAAAGTTATGACATTGGTGGGCTATTCAGATGCTGGTTATATGTTTGATCTCCATAATGTCATATCTCAGATTGGTTATGTTTTATTATGTGGTGGTACTACAATTTCTTGGAAGTCGGTCAAGCAGTCCATGGTTACTACTACTCCTTCAATTCACTCAGAGATAATTGCTTTGTGTGAGACTTCACGAGAATATGTATGGTTAAGATCTTTAATCCAACATATTCGTGGGTCATGTGGAATTACAAATGATATAACATTCACTATCTTTTATGATGACAAAGCATCTTGTGTTTTACAAATGAGTAGTGAATATGTCAAAGGAAGCATGATAAAACACATCACACCAGAATTTTTTTACCCACATGAGCTCCAAAAGAGCGGTGTGATTATTGTACAATAAGTGCAGTCTAGCGAGAATATTGCATACCTATTCACTAAATTAATTTCTACATCTACTTTTGAAAGATACATTTAGGGTGTTGTTATTTGTCGCCCCAAATTACTACTCGTCGCCCAAAAAAATATTAAAAAATTATAAATTTACAAAAATATCCCTGTGGTAAAAAAATGTTAGTGGAAAAAATGTATTCAAACGTCTAGCAACAAAGCTCGGAAGTCAAAGAAACGTCTAGAAGCTAAGCTTGGCAGCCAAAGAAACGTCTAGCAAAGAAGCCCGACTGTGAAAACAAACGTCCAAGAGCAAAGCTTGGAAGCAAAGGAAAAGTCCAAATGCGAAGCCCGACTCTGAAGAGAAACGTCTAAATGAGAAGGGGCAACACATTTAAAACTTTTAAATTGCAAGCTTATTCTGCTGCTAAACGTCTAACTGGAAAGCTTGAGACGTGTGAAACGTCCAAGAGTTAAGCTTTAAAGCATACCAAACGTCCTTTATCAAAGCTTGCCTATGAAAGCAAACGTCCAGAAGCTAAGCTTGGAAGCCAGGCAAATGTCCAACATGGAAGCTCCACTGTGAAAACAAACGTCTAGGAGCTGAGCTTGGAACTCAAGTAAACATCTAATTGAAAAGCTTGAGGCCGCGCAAAATGTCTAAGAGTTAAGCATTAAAGCATACCAAATGTTCTTGTAGATGCATCAAAATTGTGGCCAATCAAATGGCGCCACGTGAAAATTAATTTATTAAAAATCAAGCTATATTTTCTATTTATATTTTAGGAATTTCCATAAATTTAATTCCTAAATTTAAATAGTTAATTAATTAATATTTTATTATTTCAATTCTTGACCAATCAATTATTGTCAAGTGTCAAATCATATTTCTTGGTAATAAATCACATGTCTTCTAGAAGATCTTGGGGAGATCTAGGTAGATCTAAAAGATGTTATGTGAATCATCATGGACCAATCAAATCGCGTCCTACGATTCTTAAATTTAGTAGGGTTCTCCCTCCTACGCCTATAAATAGGGGCTCTCCATAATGTAACAAAAAACACTTCATAATTCATATTCAAGTTCAAGAGCTCTAGAGAATTCTCTCGACAAGATTCAAGTGTTCTTGAAGATTCAAAGGCGTTTTTGAAGATTCGAAGTAAGATTCAAGCGCGTTCAACTTCAAGACTGGCGTTCAATCTGGAAACAAGCTGCAAAGCCTCCGAATAACGTTAGTAAACTCAAAACCGGCGTGGAGAAGATCCAAGGTCTACTTTGCGACGAAGACCAAGGATTCGTGTTCTTCGTGTTCTTGGGATATTTCGACGGCTTTTTCATTGCAGAAGCTTATAGAATCTTTCCGCAAGTACTCAAATCTCTAAATACCGAACAAGCGAAGCGAAGCGTTTGATCCGAAATCAAGGCGTTGGCCCTCCGAATAATAGAGATTGTAATCTGCTATATTTATTTTGATTTGAGAAATTCATTTGAATAATATTTTTCGTGTTTATAAATATAATTCCATGTGTAGATTCTGCAGGTTTCGAATTGGTATAAATTGGAGTTGTGTAGCTTGAGTTGTTGCCATTTTACTAAACTGCTACCCATTCGAAAAGTAGTTCTCCGGACTGTTTTGTGAACTAAATGTTTATTACTTAACCTCATTGATAATGTCATATTTTTCCAATGTAGTCTTCAGAAAAGTTGTAGGAAATTGAGTTAGCTAACTTAGGGTTTCTAAATTTCAGTAATATCATGTTTGTAGCTCCTGTTATCTTGGAATTACTGAAATGCTGTAAGTTTTTCTTTTCCTTTCCGGACTGCAGCTATGTTTTGTGTTGTTGTTGATTTATCTTTGTAGCGATGTCAAAATTTGCTAAAGTTGTCTTCACAAAAATTGTATCTTTATTTCTTACTTTTCTATGAGTACCAGATGTTAGTGTTATATACTGAAAGCTTGGCTTTGCATGTTATTACACATTTACCCTTTATGAATGAGAATCATGTTAGATTAAACAAGTTCTACGTTCTGTTGTTCTGCACTTAGATAGGGTGGGTCGTCATCGGGCGAACCGAAGATCACTCTGTCAGTCACTTGCGAACAAGAATAGTTGTTCACAACCTAGATGGACATGAACACCCCATCCGAACGGTTGTAGTGTCAACTGTACAGTTTGTCTTGACTGATTAGTTGCACTAGTACATTTATGTATTGAACAGGATCCCAGAGAGGAGAAGTTCATTTTATACTGATCGTCGTAAATGAACTAGGCCTCGGTTAATTACTGCGTTCTCTTAACCCGTAAGATATTAAACAGGCAGATATATATAATATATATTACTTTGATTCACATGGGTGAGGTTCAGTTCGCTGGATTAATATTCCTACTGTTTTGGGTAATATTATTATATATAGGATGTGCTGTTAGGATATTTACGGTCACCATGTGCGTTAGTTTGATGATGTCCCCGGAGTGAGTTCATGAAGGATTGTTATGCTAAACCCTGCAGGTGGATTAAATTCCGGCATAATAAGAATGTGATGAACGAGCGCTAGCTTCGGTGAAATAATAATAAATTAATTAATTCTTGATTGTCAGTAATCGAATTAATTAATGGACATTATATCTTAAACGTGGGGAGGTAAATCGAGTAATTATTATTGGAGTCTCAAATGTAATTTGGGCTAGGGAAAGGGAGTGCAATAATATAATGTTGGTGGCCCATTAATATTATTTAATTAATTAGAGGAGTGGGTTTGGCCCACAGTTAGTCTAATTAATTAAGGAGCCCTTTTCCTAATCTCCTTAGGGTCCCTACTGTAGCTCTATATATACATCATTAAGCTCATGAGAAGAGAATAGAAGTCTCATTCTCACGTGAAACCATCTCTCTCTCTAGATCTCATTCGAGCTTTATCTTCTTCTTGTTGCTCCACTGGTACAAGTTGAAGAAGGGTGTATTGAGTAATACAGTAGAAGATCTGTAGGTAAACCGAGACGAAATTGATTTTGACCTACAGAACTAACCGGAAGTCCGATTGAGACGTACAGTATACCCAGACGACCGTCTCGACGAGAGCTTTC